GGCAGGCGGCAGGAAGCGTGGCATGTCGCGCCGCCTGGCCTCGCTGCGCCACTGCACCGTGCTGGCCATGTCCAACCTGCTCAACGCCAACGTGGACAGCGGCCTCATGCACTCCATAGGTAATCGGCGCCCCGAGCCCCGCGCGGGCGAGCTCGCCATCCGCGCCTCGGTCTTTGCTTTCCTTTTACACCTTCCTTAGTAGCTCTGGGTTCTTTTGATCAGGCTTGGGCTATCATAAAGACCTCCAGACGAGAGCCACGTTTATGGAAGTCCTCACCAAAATTCTGCAGCAGGGAACAGAGTTTGATACGTTAGCAGAAACAGTGCTAGCGGATCGGTTTGAGAGATTGGTGGAGTTGGTTACAATGATGGGTGATCAGGGGGAGCTTCCTATTGCTATGGCTTTAGCCAGTGTGGTGCCTTGTTCTCAGTGGGTAAGTTGATTCATGCATTTTATTTCTTACGTTTTTTAAAATACTAAGTCGTGAAATAAAACCTAGTGTAAGCATTGAGGGGGAACCAGGAGTCTGGTGCAGAGAGAGTGGGGCTGCCACTGCTGCCAGCTAGCCTTGCCTAGTGTGTTCTTAAATGTACTGAACCTACATTCACATCTTGATTATAAACCGCATTTTTATAGAAAATTTATAGTTAATGTCTAGGAATAATTTTATATACAGTTGCTATAATGAATGCATCTGGGCTGGTTATTTATTACAGGTGGTGTGTGTTGTAATGCATGTTGTATTTGCTCTGTTAGGTTTTAACAAGATGAGTTTTGTTATGCAGCAGAGTAACTGCTCATCTGTTGGGATAACCCGTAGGAATTGGTATGGGTGGATATGTGGGGCAGATGTCTAGACAAGCAGTAGCACAAGGGAGGTTTCCAGAGAGGTGTGTGTGTGTGTGTGATGTGATGTTTACATCCAGACCCCAAAGCAAACATAGGCAGCAGTGCACGCTGCTGGGTGGTCTGTGTGGAACAGTGGTTTGTCTTGCCATGGCTCCCTGCGAGTCAGACTCACATTTCCTCCTCCTCCTAAGGACGAGCTAGCTCGTGTCCTGGTCACCCTCTTCGATTCCCGGCACCTGCTCTACCAGCTCCTCTGGAACATGTTCTCAAAGGAGGTTGAACTGGCAGATTCTATGCAGACACTCTTCCGGGGAAACAGCCTAGCCAGCAAAATAATGACTTTCTGTTTTAAGGTACGTTAGCTCTTCTCTCTGCTACAGATCTCTTCAGTAACAGGAAATGTTCATGTGCATAAAAACAGAGCTGCTGGGCTATGGGGCTGAGCACCTGAGCAGGGGATTAGGTGAAGAGAGCATGGACCTTTGGGTCTCAGCTCAGTGATGTGAGTGGCTCTGGGCCAGAACCAGCTGTAGGACTGTTCCTGGTGGGGTGCTTGAAACGTGGAGTTTAAAGATGGGAGCCAAAGCCTGAGCTCTTGTTTGTGCTCCCACTTCAGCTTAAAAAGCTGTGCAGAAGCAGAGATGGAGGGTGGAGTAAGTGCTCTGACAAAGAATCCCTGCAGGTTTCTGTGGTTGTAGTGACCTGCAGTTCCCTGAATTCAAAATGAATTAAAGAACTGGTAGGAGCGAATCACAGTTGTGTTCCAGAGGTGACACTGTTGTATGCAAACCCCAGTTTTTTAACTCTGGCTTATGCCAAAGCAAATCAAGTGTTCTGGGGCTCTTGTAACACTACAGAGCTGTGCAGTGCTCTGAGAGTTGCTGTGCTAACCTGACCTCCCGTTGGTGTTTTCCTTCTCACAGGTATATGGTGCTACGTATTTGCAGAAGCTTTTGGAGCCTTTACTGAGGACAGTGATCACCTCCTCTGAGTGGCAGCATGTTAGCTTTGAGGTGGATCCAACAAGGTTTGAGATTCAAGGGGAGGAGCGAGTGTATTTATCTGTACACGTGGTTCCCAGTCACTGTAAATATAATAGGATTCCTTTTGCCTGGTTAAAAACATTTTTGTCATGGTTGCATAGTGTTCCACTCCTCCCTCTTACAAACACATCGGTTGTCTCTGCAGCCCTCAAACCCAGGGAGGTTGTACAGAGCTGTCCAGCACGGCAAGAGGGATTTGCTGCATGTCCTCTGAGCCCTGAGAGCTCTTGCAGGACCTCTGCTCCCACTTGCTGTTTCACACCTTTATGCAGGCCACTAAAATGGGGTGTCCAGTAGAGCCAGAAAGCACCTGCTGTGGGTCCCTGGATGCAGCAACAGGACAGAATGTGTGTGTGGCATGTGTAATTCTGCTCTAATTTCTCTCACCACTTCAAGACCTGGAGTTAGTAGCAGTTGCTCTGTTGCTTTGAACTATCTCTAACTCTTAGAAAAAATCATAAGTACTCATCTCTTCAAGTAGCTTACCCAAAGACAGGCCTTCTTATTAACCCTCAAGTATCCGTGTCTACCCCAAATTCTTTCAGATAAGCCATGAAACTGATAATGCAGTTATCAGCTGGATCTGTGTGCATGTCTGTGTGTGGGGTGCTCCAAGGATCCCCCCTACAGCTGTCTGTTCCTCACCCGGTGTTACGTGGCCTTTCCTGCGTAACTCACACGGTTAAAATAGTGATGGAAACTTCCGTGTAAAGGGTCATAAACGTTTCCCTAAGAAAAAGGAGGGAATGAGATTCCTACCTAACATGTAAGTGCAGCTTGTGCCACGGGTTTGATTGCTGGTCATACATGTGTGGGTCTGTTTCAGGCTGGAGCCCACAGAGAGCCTCGAGGAGAACCAGCGGAGTCTCCTGCAAATGACAGAAAAGTTTTTTCAGGCAATCATTAATTCCTCCTCGGAGTTCCCACCCCAACTGCGCAGTGTGTGCCATTGCTTGTACCAGGTATGGCTGCAGCGTTGCCTGCCCTCAGCTTTGGGCTTGGTTTGCACAGTGCCAGCAGTGTGGGGCACACAGTGGGCACCTCTTAGAGGCTCTTCTCAGGTGTTTGCTAAAGAGCCTGGACGTGGGGGCTGAGTGGTGCTTTGAGACTTTGGGTTGGCAATCAGGAGGTGGCAAACATTGCTTTAAAAGTACCCACATCCCCTGATCTCCAGCAGCCTGCTGAGCCCAGTGTCCCTGGGGGTCCCTCCTGCTCTTTGTGTGTGTCTGGTGGATTCAGCTGCTGCTAACAGCCCGAGCAGAAAGTGCTCCTGCTGCCCTCAGGGCTCGTCGGGAGTTCTGCTTCCAGTCCCCTTGGAGCACTGTCACAGAACTGTGCTTGGTGGAACAAGGGAGCTGTGGGCTCAGTTCGGTGCTCTGGAAGAGCTACTCTTGGCCTTTGAGCCGTCGAGTCTGTATCTCAGGTCTGAAGCAAAGCAAAGAGATTTTCTGACCTGTGTGAACAAATGATGAGTAGCAAAAAGTTCTGCACAGCACAGTGCAGTTACATTGGTGCAGTGAGTGTTGGGTTAGGCAGTGCAACTGCTGAGACTCTCAGGGCTTGGGGGTGAGGAGCAGAGAACGCAGCTGTGACTGGGATGGTCTGGAGCTGCTACTGGGAGCTGTGGGATGAGCCAAGCGTGCAAGTGGTGTGCCCTGTTTCTGCTGTGGGAATGGCTTCTAAAGCCTTCGCTGCCTCTTCTGGCAGTGGTTGTGTTTGGGTTGGTGGGGAGTGATCTTGGGGTTTCTTGGTGTGTTTGGTTGTTGAAATCAGGAAATGGAGTGGGCAGGTTGGTCTCCTTCATGGCCGCAATCTCACAGAGGTTGGCTGGGTGAATATCTGGGTGTTACTGAAACTGTCACAACCACCCTGGTTGTTCCTTCAGTTACTGGACGTTACCTTTCCCATCTGATCCCAGCACTGGGTTTATATGCTGTTACCAGGATGTATCAGAGTTAATGCCATTTCAGTGGCACATTGCTAGAAATTATTTCTGTGCAAACCATTTGCAATTCCTACATGAAATGGAACTTCTAAATTGTGCTCACCAAGGGCATTCCCAGAGGCTCTTCTGTGGAAGCCTGTCCAAGTCTGTTGGCTTTATTCTTCCCTTTACTATGTGGGCTAATAAGGATAATTTGTTCCTGAGACAGATTATTTACTGGCAAATAGACAACTGGTATTAACTGATGCTCAGCTTCTCTGTTTGCTGCTCTGACTGTTTCTGGTTACACCTGTATTACAGGTGTTCATCACTAGTAGTTCAGCAATTCACTCTGTACTTAGAATTCCAGAGAGGTTTGGAGAGTTTGCCGTTCCTCTGAAAGAAAGTACAATCAAGATCTGATTTGGGGGTGTTAATCCATTTTTACCCTGAAAACCAAAGGGGTGATTTTTATAAGATAACTTCCTTTAATAAGGTGAATGTGTTCCATCCCAGGCTCTAGTGTGAGAGTAAAGGAGACTGAATTTTGAGGGTTTTTAATGCTTAGAGTTTTAAAGTAACATTTTAGAAGTGTGTGCAGAGAGTACTCACCAGGAGTGTCCTGCAAGTGACTGGTAGCACCACAGAGCACCAGTGGTGTCTGTGATGGCTGGGGTGTCTGAGTTGGGAACAGAGCCCAGGGAGAGTTTTCCTGTGGAAACACCAGTAACTGGCAGCTGTGCCAGAGTCACCTGCACATGACAGGTAAGATGTTCAGGGGTGTGAGGCGTGAGGGACAGGCCTGAGCAGAGTAACTCACCCAGAGAATTGGTGCTGTTTCACAAGATCCCCGCGAGCAGACGAGGTCTATCTCAGTAAGGAGAGGTGGAAGTGTTCCTTTCCCCACAGTGCCCTGATGGGCAGAGCGTGTCCACGTGCTGCAGAAGCTGCTCCATGGGGGAGGTTTGGCACTGGTTAGGTATGACTAGGTCCTGCACGAATTTCAGTTCAGCTTGGCTAGCAGAACAGCTTTTCCTGGCTGGTCTGGTTGGGGTTTTTGCTTTCTACTCTGTTACCTTCTGAAGCTGTAGGAATTCTCTCCCAGCTCCAGTGTGGCTCTGAAGTTGGCTCGGAGGGTTGGGGTGTGTTTGCTCTCAGCTGCTGAGCACTGCAGGCTGGCTGTGCCCCCAGCTCCAGGTGCTGCCTGCTGTGGGCCCTCCAGGGATGCTCAGGCACCCTGCCAGCTCCCAGGAAGGCTGTAGGGTCGAGCTCCAGGACCAGGGTGTTCCTCTGGCCAAGGGCAGTGCACGAGGCTGAGGTGCTATAGCTTTGCTCAGGTCCTGGTGGGAAATAGGAGAGAATTTGATGCTTCTTGGTGGGTCCCTTTGCATCCCAGTGAAATGCAGAAATAAGCAGAGTCAAGTCAGATCTCTTGATTTGGAAATCCCTAATCAATTGGAGAGGACCCACTGGCTTTTTTCCTCCTTTGTCCTCAGAGTGTTTTGTGGCAGTGTTAGCTCTCACAGCTAATAACCCTCATGGTTCACAGGTCTAACTAAATTGAAGGACACACAGAGAAACATTGGGAAGATCTGAAACTCCAAATTGAATTTTAAAAGCAGTATGTGTTTCAAAGGGATAACACACTATTCTCACTACTACAACTATTTGGGGATGGTGAAATGCATTTGAAAGCTGAATATACCATTCAAGGCCCAATCTTGTAGGTCATGAGCATAATGATGTGGTTTGACTTCTAATCTAGCCAGAAATAGTAGAAATGATTGAAATTCAACATTTGCTTGTTTTGTATTTAGTGCTTTGTAAATAAGATGTAATAAAACTGTGGAATAAAAACTCCATCATCAGTCTTTAGTTTATATATTTCATTTTCTGTTGGTTATGTTTGTTGCATTTTACTGTGTAATTTATGTACAAGTCAACATTGGTTTTTTGTTGCTGTATGTAGTTGGTGCTGTGACTTGTTTGTGCTCATCTCTGTTCTGTAGGCAACTTGCCACTCTCTACTGAATAAAGCTACCGTAAAAGAAAAAAAGGAAAACAAAAAATCAGTAAGTTTGGAGACCTTTTTCTTAGCCATTTCTTTCAAAGCACAACAGAAATCTTTTGCTGTTTGTTCAGAATATCTTCACTTCAGTCTATTTGACCTCACTGTAAAATCATTCTACTAATTCTGGCACCAAATAGCTTTCGTTTCAATTAACACTGGGATTAAGTTGTATTTAAAATATTCTCTGTGTGCCTATTGGAGTAAACAAAAGCCATTTTTAACATTGCTGCTTAGTATTGAATGCTCTGACTCTCCTAGCCTTGTCACCGTCTGCAAATTAAAGCAAAATGGGGAGGAAAATATTTCCTTTGGTTCTGAGAAAACCTAGAGTCTGTTGAGCTGCTCTAACACTCTGGCAGATAACTTGAGCTTGCATCCTGGGCAAAGAACGATTGGTACTCGTGGGCTACTGAAAGAGGCTCTGGGACTTGTTTCTGATACATTTTCTTTTGTTTGCTTTGGGACTAAGCAAAAACCTGAAAGTGCACTTGTATTTGTTTCCTGAGAAAAGCAGATTTCCCACTTTAGCTTGCTGTGTTAGAGTTCAGATCTGTAGGTTGCTTTAGGGTGGTGACATTAAAAGTTCCATTCCTTTGGCAGTGACCTCAAAACAAAGTAGGAATGAACCGGGCAGAATGGAAATTCAGACTTTTATTCCATACTCCCTTGTCTTTGCTGTGACTGAGCACAACAGTAGTCATGTTTAAAATGCAAATTCCGTGGGCCAAGCAGCATTTGAGGAGACAATATCAGTAATTGCATCATGAGGTGACTGACTGAGTCGCTGC